CAACAGTGTTCACTGAGAACGAGAGAGTTCTCAGTAGTTCATCTATGGACGAGAGTGTCCTGGATGAAAAGACACGAGTTGAGCGATATGACTCCCAATCATGGGAATCGCTCAAGACAAATCCTCTCTATGAATATTTGGTTGAATTCAAGGACGTATTCCCTGAAACTGGTCCGTGCGAATTACCGAAGGATAAAGGTATTCGACACGAAGTCGAGCTTAAACCAGGCTCGAAGTACTGTGTCATGAAGCAGTGGCCACTGCCTCGTGAGCAAGTACTTGCGATCGACAAGTTCTTTGCCGATCGTTTAGCAGCGGGCCATGTGAGGGAATCAACTTCCCCACATAGCTCTCCGACCTTCTGTTTGCGAAAAGCAACAGGAGGGTGGCGGATAGTGCACGCGTTCAACAAATTGAACGCTGCAACGGTACCGGCTCAGACGCCGATACCGAGGAAGGACGTAATCATTGATGGTATGTCAAACAGTACCATCTTTTCGTCCATGGATTTGATGGATGGCTTCTATCAAATCCTAATGCGAGAACGGGGTATACCCTGTACCGCAGTTAGCACGCCTAGCGGCATGCTCTGGGAATGGCTAGTAATGCCACAAAGGCTCAGTAATGCCCCTGCCACGTTCAACAGATGTGTATCACATCTGTTGAGACCAGTACGAGAATTCGCGCCGAGTTCTTGCGATGACGTATTCATCCATAGTCGAGCTATGGATGGAAAGTCGGACGTTGAGGTTCACAGGTACCACGTCCGACAAGTTCTTACAATCATGCGAAAGCATCAATTGTATGCTAACCTCAAGAAGTGTATATTTGCAGCAAGCGAAATACCACTTCTTGGGTGCATCGTTGGTAAGAACGGTGTACGTCCTGATCCCGAAAAGATCAAGGCGATCACCGACTGGCCTGTGCCGGTCGATGTCAAAGGTCTTCGAAAATTTCTTGGGCTAGCGGCGTATTTGCATAAGTATTCACGCAATTACGCCGAGATGACTGTACACCTCTCTCGTTTGTTGAAAAAGAACGAGAGGTGGTTACGGATCGCTGAATGTAAGCGCTCCTATGATGGTATCAAGCAGTGCTTGATACAATCCCCAGTCCCAGCAATTGCCGATCAGGACAGGCCACTTCATGTGGTCTGTGATGCCAGCGATTTTGCAATAGGCTGTGCATTAATTCAGCACGATCTTGAAGGCGTTGAACGCGTCGTCTGCTATCAGTCGCGTCAGCTGCAACCAGCTGAGCGGAACTATCCAGTGCATGACAAGGAACTCCTTGCCATGAAGTATGCACTCGCGAAGTTCAGAGTCTATCTATTAGGAGATAGACCCTTCGTTGTTTACACTGACCATGCGTCATTACGCACGGCAGTGAACAGCCCGCACCTTTCACAACGAATGGGGCGGCGGTTGTCATTTTTTGCGGAATACAACTTTACGGTCGAGTACAAACCAGGACGACTTAATGTCGTCGCTGACGCACTCTCACGTCGTCCCGACTTTGAAACAGTCGCGAAACCCAACAGTGAGACAGTCACTGTTGCGGTTATGAAGTCCTCAGTTCCATCTACAACGTTGTATGATGATGTGAGGCGGGCATACGCCCAAGATGGTGAGATTGTGAAGTTTTTGTCACATCTCTCCCAACCATCTCGAGAATCGTTAAAACGATTGTCGTCTGCGTATCGATCTGCATCAGATCGATACACTACTCGTAACGGGTTACTGTACTATACAGCCGTTTCTGGTGACACACCACGTGTTGTCATTCCAGATGATACTGATCTGCGTTTGCGGATCATGTTCGAGTATCAAGATGAATCTATAGGAGGACATCGTGGCCGGGAGAAAACATATCTCACGGTGGTTCGAGACTTTTACTCGCCCCGCCAGTATCAGTTGTGCGAAAGTATGTTCGCGCATGCGAAGTCTGTCAACGAGTGAAGTCAAGTCCTTCACTGCGTGCACCTTTACAGCCTCTACCGGTTCCGGCTGAGTGCTGGGAATCCATCTCAATGGATTTTGTCTTCGGGTTACCCAAAGACGCACGCGGGAATGCGGGTATTCTCGTATTTGTTGACAGATTCAGCAAAATGGTACACCTTGTGGCTGTACCCGAGAAAATCACAGCAAGTGGCTGTGCTTGTGTCTTTATTGACACCACCTTCCAACTTCATGGGTTGCCCCGTGAACTCGTATCAGACAGAGATCCACGATTCACTGCTGATTTCTGGCGTTCTGTGTTCAAATCACTCGGAACGCGCTTGAAGATGTCGACATCTGATCATCCAGAATCAGATGGTCAGACGGAACGTGCCAATCGTGTCCTTGAAGAGATACTTCGAGGATACTTACACTCCTTTAAGAGTTGGAGTGAGTTCTTGCCAATGGTAGAGTTTGCCATTAACAACTCGGTGCATGCGTCCACGACACATACACCGTTTTACGTGAATGGCTTACGCCATCCGAGTGTACCCACCTTACTAGAGTGTAACTCTGGTTTAAGGGGGGGAGAGACTCGCGCGAGCAAAACCGATTTGGCTCACGCTCATCACGCTCTGACGAAGAGGTCATTGCGTTTGATGCCGATATCGATATCGACAACATCGACATCGAAGAAGATGATGCCAGTGAGAGTGCGGAAGCCCTCACTGAAGAAACGATGGATATCCCTGCAGTGCACTCACAGCGCACTGAAGCTAACGAGTCATCAGAGAAGTTAATACTGGCTCGTGAAACGGTAGTCCGTTTTGTGCAAGACTCCATCGCCGAAGCGGTGGACAAGCAAAAGGAAAACGCTGACAAGAATGGAGGGGCAAACACTCTTTTATTCAATGAAGGTGACTTAGTCCTACTGTCTACGGTTAATCTACCAAAGCATGTAGTGACTAACTTGGGTAGTAGTAAACTACTACACAAGTACATCGGCCCATTTCGTGTATTGCATCGCCTAGGCAACGCATACACGATCGATCTGCAGAGAAACGTACGCGCCACCACGGGCTATTAGGGAGGTAAGCCGCCTTAGGTGCTCGTGCAGAGTTGTTCACACAACATGGGCACGAGTGTCCCCAGGAGAGACAGGGTAACCCACCCTCCTTTGACAGACGATGCAGCTTATAGAGTGCACCTGTCGGGGTTTGCTTTTCAAACTTATCACGAGCTTTGATAAGTTTGTCGTTTTAAACGTCACGACCTACATCCTCAAGGTTATGGATGTAGGCGTTCCACGCTTAAGGTAGTGAGGGACCATCACGTTTGTGATTCCCACTGTACCATCGATGTCTAAAGAAAGCATTGATGAAGAATTCATTCTCAGCGCGATAGTTTTCGCGCTGGGGTCTAGGTGATTGATCCTTGACGAATCGAACAATCGTGTTCGATAACGATCGCTCATCGTCGCCGACAAGTGATCCATGACAGATTTAGGAGGCATCCATGCCTTCTTTTCAGGAGCTAGACGCAAGACATTGCGGTCCCGCTCTTCCTGCGACGTGCCGACAGAAGTACTGGTACCTCGCTGCGAAGCGGTGTCAATAGGACAACCGACACCACTGTGAGCGCCCGAGACTTGCGATCTCGAGCGCCTTCGCTTCGGCGATGGTTCATCTGAGTCGTCAGACGAACCAAAGATGATATGACGCATAGCATCATCCATGCCACGCTTGGCAGGCGGCTTGGTTTCGATCGCCGTCGATACGGATACGTCATCCGTATCAGGAGAGTACGAGACACCGAGCTCGTACTCTGTGAAGACACGAGTGTCTCCATGACCAGCGCCTGCGTCACCAAGTGACACAGGCTGGGTCGCTTCAGCAACCGATGGGACATCAGTTTCTGTAGTTTCTGCTTCGGCGTCCGCACAGAGACGTGCAGACGCGCTCTCGGCGGCCTTGCTCGCGCATCGCATGGGCTTGTTAACCATGCGATGAGATGTTGGAAAGTGGACTCGAACCAACAAGTGCAAACCCTGTCCCAAATGATTTAGGACGAGTTTCCATTTAGTCAATCAGTCGCTAAAGTGACTAATGGTTAAGGGGGGGTGATATAACGGGGTGAATCGTTACATAACAATTGATACGAAATTGTTAATAGAATATAACTGTAAGAGTTGTATTCTCAGCAATTTGTCATAAGGACAAATATTCTGCAGCACTTACGAGTAGTTCCTAATTAGTTGATATAGGCCATCATATCAACCAACGAAGACAAGCCACGACAGACGCACGCAATGAGTGGTGAGCAGATTGTTGATATACACATTTGCATTCAGACATAGTTAGACGAAGATAAACAGTGATTTATTAATAGACATCGACTATGATGAATACGGTTCTACCTTTTACTTCAACCAAGTACTCGCTTCTCCTTACCGTCTTCCTCTGCACGTACCAGTGTACGTGAAGTTCCGAGGCACCGCCTTATTCTGTCATCAGAAAAAGTAGCTTGTACTGTCATCAGTATAAGCTTTAGGGTGCCCTAGTTACACTAACCGAGACCATAACATTAACTGTTAATATTTGTGATCGCCAAAAGTGTGCATTTCCCGACCAAATAGTCACGTTCACACGACTGTGCAAATGTAAATGGATGGAATTTTGATATTGTTGCTGGTAAGGTAGAGGCACTAAAAGGGTTATGAGCACAATGCACACGCTCTGTTCTATTCATATTAAACGCACCAGCGCTGGCAGAAATCTCTAAAATAAAAACTCATTTAATTTTGCACTCGGTGATGTCCGTAACACGTTGTGCCGTTTTCTATGAAAATACATGATAGTGCTACCATACAAACGTAAAACAACGTCGTAAAGCCACGTACTTGCCTAAACTTAAGCAAGAACGTAGCACTCGATATTGTTAGTAAGGAGCATCTTGAGTATAAAACGCAGTCGTTTAGCGTCTTCATTTCGGCCCCGATAAAAGTCTTAAATATGGGTCACGTCCATGTTAACGACCAGCTCCGCCCGCCTCTCATCGTTTCATTCACATCCCTTTGCTTCGAAGACAAGCTACAGCCACTTCCCACGCTGACAATTCCTTGGCTTCAATGACACACAAGAGACAGAACGTGAAACTTTTTTTCTGCGTAACTTCCGAAGACGCTTCAATCGTGAGCTTTTTCTGCACACTGCACTTGCTGCACATGATCTGACGGCAAATAGGGCAACTAATAGGAGACTGCAAGAGACTCCCGAGTTTGCTCAATGGTTTATGGCACACGCCGCAATCACTCACGTGTGACACGACGCCCGACGTATCACTCCGTCGTCGCAACGTCATGAGGTAGCTCAGTTTTCTCATGTTCGAGCACTCGACCACTCCGGCACTTGACGTGATATTGTTTGCCAGAATCATGGCACTGTAACTCGCCATCATATCTCCCCGAAGGTCCACGAACCCACGACCAAACATCTCGACGACATCCAGCTCTTCCAGCTGTCGAGCAATGTAGCACACTGAGAGTTGCACTCGGATGACGTTGTGACTCGAATCCAGTGGTGGACATTCCGGCAACTCAATCGAGTGGATCAGATAATAAAACACACGCTCGCCGTCCGAGTCAAACGCCATGCCTTGGGACTCGAGGTAGAGAAAGTCCCGTCGCGTCGTAAACGCCCCGTAGTCCACTGTACCCCATTTCAGCGTCACGGATCGAAACGGGTCTTCTTCATTAGGGAGCTGGAACGTTGCGAGGATCTTCCGGTCGTCGAAAATGTCGTTATGGACGTACGAATTCCGCACGAGCCAAGCGTGTTTCGAATTAGCAAGACCGCCATAGGCCACGTCCTCGAGGGAGCCATTGATCTCTCCTGTAGCGACCATGAGCGGGATATGACAAGGTTTGACGTTGGCTAGGACACTGTGGTCAAATAACGAGGACGAGTCCACCTCGTTACTGGAAGAGCTATGGGTTGCAGTACTGCTAACATCCACTTCTGGAATCGGGATATCGTAGGCACAGGGTCGACCTTGAACTGCTGCTTGATGCTGGTGCTGCTCCATTGCCCCTGCTGACATGAACCGAGGGCGACTCGGGTCCTTCTCATCTTGAGAGAGACTGTGGGTCTTCTTCTTCTGCTTTGAGACCTTGTTGCTGCTCCGTCGCTTCCGTGCACGATAGACTCGAATTTTTTCCCTCGACTTGACGTGTTTCCACTCATCGCTGGGCAATTGACGACCGTTTGCCACAAACCCTTCGTACGTGTCCAGCGTCTCGGCAATAATGGCGTCGGCCGTATCGGTGAGCGCTTGTTGTGTCGACACGGACAAGTGAATGTGGTCGGGGACTTGGTCTGCTATGTTCGAGTGCTTTACTACCATTTTAGAAGAGACTTTGGAAGAGGAAGGGTGAGTTTTAGCGAGGAAGTTGGTTCGAGAATGGTCAAATGCTGTCGTGACCTCCTCGAGACATTACCAACAATCATTGGTATCGAGCTGCCCGAGTGGTTGTGGTTATTGTAAAGCAGACGACGACCCGACCAGCTGACAGTTGTCAAGCAAGCGAGGGGATTCAAGATAAGTGTTCGAGGCATTGCTCCTCGGGCAGCTTTTTTCTCGCACTTGTTCAAAGACAGTCTTTTCTTTTCCAGCCTTTAGCGGTGTCGCGATGACGTCGACGAGTGTCGCGTGACAAAAGTTTCACAAACTTTTGTCGCCATGTTGTGGACCGGTCGGCGATGCTGGACGTTAACGTTCTAGTTGCTAACATCTTAATTTGCTGGGGATATCGATAGCTATAGTATTGCCACGCTGTGTATTGACCGCGACACAGACCGACCTTACTGTGAGGATATTCTACATTTGATTCGATTGATTGATGCATTGATCGATTTGCAGTCTATTCCCGGTTGTGAACAGACAGACATGACACGTGCAACGTGGTTGAAAAAGGATGGTCCGGGCTCTTCTGCTTCTTTCTGATGCCGGCTTGGAGGCAGATGGTGTACGTAAGTTCGTGTCGGGCGACGAGAGATTGACCATTTTGTGGTCATCGGGTTAGTAAAGTAGATGGACGTACGCGCAAAACACGTGAACTTGGTCAAGCGAATGGACCAGAATTTGTGCTCTTTCGAGTCGTTGTGTTGACGTAAGGTGTACGCGACGTTTGCCATCGACGGCCACGTTCTTTGCGGTACCGCCGATGAGTTAATAGCCACGACCTTTAGTCATTGACGGGCTTGGCTTGGCTTGGCTGTACGAGGTGGACATCACCGCACGACAGCGTATAGCGAAGAAGGTACTCTGCTTATAGCTGTGCACATTCTTGCAGCCTATCTCCGGCCTAAGCATGCGCTAAACAAGTAAAGCAGACGTTGTTCACCAGGTCGTTGATGCCGAAATATCTTGGCTTGATACTGTTCGCATCAAGGTAAAGGACACGTGGGTGACAATTGACTGCTTCCATGGGAAGTCTTATCACCACGTGGTATGCTCTAAACAAAAACGTTCGACAGTCTTGCAGCATCTGAGGCAGTGGCTCCTGTCGAACCACCGCCCCTTGAACGGCAGATGGCGCATATAGAGTGGCTCGCATGGACGGAAGTAGGACACCTCTGGAACGTGAGTAACCGAAAGTTGACACTGAGTTGCACACCTTGCGCTTTCTACCCCATCGGTTTCTCACATTTGCTGGACTTACATCCCGACCGCATTCGCCGCGAGCATTTGATGAGTCTGTGCAAAGCTCATTTGACGACCGAGGAATCGAAACGTCGAGTCTAATAGAAGGGTGTGCACGAATGATATGGGGCGCAAACCGTTGAGCCTGCCTGCCTGCCTGTCCCTTTGTAACGGGGTGAATCGTTACATAACAATTTATAAGAAATTGTTAATAGAATATAACTATAAGAGTTATGTTCTCAGAATATTGTCATAAGGACAAATATTCTGTAGCACCTACAAGTAGTTCCTAATTGGTTGATATAGGCCATTATATCAACCAACGAAGACGCGCCACGACAGACACACGCAATGAGTGGTGAGCAGATAACTGATTTACACATTTGTATTTAGACATAGTTAGACGAAGATAAATAGTGATTTATTGCAGACATTAACTATTATAAATACAGTTCTACTTTTTACTTTAACCAAGTACTCGCTTCTTCTTACCGTATTCCTCTGCACGTACGAGTGTACGTGATGTTACGAGGCACCGCCTTATTCTGTCATCAGAATAAGTAGCTTGTACTGTCACCAGTACAAGCTTCAGGGTGCCCCGTTACACCCTTTGCTTTTCTCACCGAGATGACCGGCTTTATCTTGGGTGTCTATCTCTTCTTAAAAAGGTCAAGAGCTCGATTCGAGCGCAATGTCAAGGAACTACAGCGTTCACCAAGACGCTGTTTGGTAAGTGGGTACGCTACGATGATTCACCGTTGGCTGCTGTTATTGGTATACGTCGAGGGCATCGCCACCGACCTGATTCCTCTTGTAAGGCTGATGTGGGGATTGTGTTTAAGCTACGATCAAGCCCGTAGCGCTCTTCATTCAAGGATTTAATTAACACAAGATCGCTAACGTCATGTGATGGACGCAATTTTGTGAGGCCAACGCCACGTGAACTTTGGCCTCGTCTGTGACTTTGCGGGTGCGACTTCCTACTGTTCCTACATACGACTGTTGGACAGACAGTCGACGGTACCTGCCTGATCGCTTGGCTGCCCGTTCTGTCAGGAAGAGACCATCCATCGCAAGCTGTTGACCATACGGGACGTCAAAAACGTGATGGCTCCACGCTATCAGGACGTAGCCGTAACGTGCTCAAGACACGAAATGCACTACACCGTCTATCTTGGTCTTCTTCTTTGCACCTACTCTGTTGTTTTGCGCCATCTCCTCGCGCTCCTTCCGCTTTCATTCCAACTGATTTAAACTTACGGTCAGTCAATTTGTACGGCCCAATTAATGTCTCCATGTGCGCCGTTGGTCGCCAAGTTTACTCTTACGAGGGTGATCATGTCACGACATTCGAGTAGACTTCAGCACGACTCAGCCGTTCGGTTTCGCTAAGATGTGACTTCATGTTGTAATTGACGTAAATTGTTTGGTCTTGATTCGCGAAACAAAAGGTGCGTGGCACTAGCGTAGTACTTAGTATATATGGCTGGATTTTGAGCTATGTAGCCATAACCTCGATCAGCAAACCTTCCACGACGTGTGGCATCGCCAGTTTAAAGCATCAAATCGAGCGCATAGCCCGTTACTTAATCACTTTAACTCGACTACTCGTGTTCTTCTCGAGCTGTAACTCTGATGAACCGTTGAAGCGCTTGCCCTTATTGTTAGTATCTATCATATCCACTGCCAAGTGAATCGACATACCACAACCCTCAATAAAAACAAATCAGCTACATGCTGCAACAGTCTTTCAATGAGCTTGATTGAATGCATGTGGTTGTCTTCTCCAGGCAGGGCACACTACCTCGATGTTGACATACAGGTACGGCCTGCATGATTACTTTGAAAGTGACGTTAACATGTTGTATCGTGTTTTGTAAGTATCCGGTGTGATGACTTCTCGTTCACTAGGTAAATTGGAAACTGAATTAATGTAGGTCCTTAGTTCGCTACCCTGTGCTATTCTAAACCTACCCTTCTGGATCCTTCTAGAAGCTTCTTCAGTGACGTCATCTAATGACGTCAGACTGTGACGTCCTCCAATGACGTCAGACTTATCCCTTTTTTTTACTTTTTACACTGTAATTACTCCTGTACTAGGCCGTGCGTACCTAGCGGCCTGACATCTCCCTGGACTTGAATTCGCGTTGGCCGTCTCGAAAATCTTGGACTAGTTGCTGCCAATGCGAAACGTGGCGGATGGATCTCTCGCGCTCCCAAGTACTGTCACACTCCGGGAGGCCATGCCATTTGACTAGCCATTCTTTTTGGCGATTGCGCTGACGACGACTAAGCAAGCTTTCCACAATGTGTAGTTGCTCTCCGGTGTCTGGCTCTAATATAACTGGTGCTGCTTTCGGAATTGGTCGTCCAGCGAACTCGGAGGCATTTGGCTTGTATGGGAAGAGTAGGTCAATGTTGAATGAGGAGTGCAGTCTCTTCATATGTCGTGGAAGCTTTAACTTGGCAACGTTCGGATTGACCATCCTGGTTATCTCAAACGGTCCCACTTTTATTGCTGCCAGCTTCGCTTTCTTTAGATCAACGTGAGCGTTCAATGTTCTAAGCGGTAGATTCTTGGCATCCAACAGAACTAAGTCACCTACTTTGAAAGTAACGCTTCTTCTTTATGAGTCGTAGTGCTTCTTTTGCCTTTCCTGGGCTTGTTCCAGGTTTTCGCGTGCCTCGCGTACTAGTTTTTGACGATCGTTGGCAAACTTGGAGGCAAATTCTGAAATTGAATGGGAGCCCAGATCAGCGTGGCCTCCGTATTCATGCGAAATCAGCTTAAATACCTTTCTCCCAGTATCGATTTCGAACGGGGTGAGCTTAGTAGATGCGTTCACCGATGTAGCGTGCGCGTACTCTACAGTACCCAGTAGTTTGACCCAATTGTCGCCACTGTACGATACCAGGCAGCGTAAAGCGTCTTCCAACACCAACTTTTGGCGCTCCGTTTGCCCATCTGATTGCGCTCTATGAGCGGTTGTCATGCTTAGCTTGACACCCATTATATTCATCAGTGATTTCCAGAAGTTCGCCGTGAACTTTGGATCCCGATCGCTGATAATAACCTTCGGCAATCCATGATGTCGGACTACAGCTTCGAAAAATAGATCTGCGGTGTCTTTCGAATCGGCAGTCGTATATGTCGGTGCATAAATCGGCCTCTTTGACAACTTGTCTACGACGACGCAAATAGCATCATAGCCTTCCGACACGGGTAGCCCAGTAATGAAGTCCATTGATACTACTTCCCAGCATTCCTCCGGAACGGAAATAGGAATCATTAATCCTTTCTTCCGCTGGCTGTTAGACTTCCATCGCGCGCATGTTTCACATGTCTCCACGTACTTCTGCACGGTTTTCAAGTATCTTCGGCCAGTAGTACCATTGCTTTAGCTTTACGTAAGTTCGGCGCACTCCTGGATGTGCCGCTGTGGCTGCATCGTGAAACTCTTATATAATCTCCGTCTTCATTTCTGGTATGTCTGGGATGCATATCTGTTGCATTGCCTCGTCTTGTTTGACATATATGAGTCCTTTGTCGATTATGAAGTTGTCCTTCGATTGTTGAGTTCTCCAGATCTTTTGGAAAAACTTGTCTGTGTGATTTCCTTGCTGGATAGTTTTTCGCACTTTGTAACTGAGATGTGCGCGCACCACGTGAAACGCAGCGTTGTGGATTTGCTCCTGAGCGA